GGCGGGGGGGGGTTCGGGTGTGCGGGGTGGGGCGTCCGTATCTATCTGTTCTTAACCTCCATCCAGTCTTGAGAGGTGACGGTCAACGAAAACTGGGCACCGTTTCGGGGGGAGGTTAAATCTCGCGCCTGGCTATGCTCTGTACATATCATAGCATACAGCGGAAGACAGGGTGGTCAAGGGGNGGGGGGGGGGGGGGGGGGGGGGGGGGGGGGGGGGGGGGGGGGGGGGGGGGGGCGTGTAGAGGATATTCTATGGGGTGGAAGGTGCCGTGAACCTACTCGAGTGTTCATTCTGTGTCAAAATCTGGGGAATTGGGTTTTGGTTGATTTATTTGTTGATTCCCTGCGTCGTTTGATTGCGGTCACCGCAGAGTTTTTTTCTAGAGGCATGTTTCGAGCCTTTTTTTCCATCAAACGTGGAAGATGCTGCCGAAGGCGCAGTCATTCGTGAACGCACCTTGTTTGTTCTGGGCCGCTCACCATCCAGCATCTCGAAGACGAGATGTGCATACATACAAGTGCGTGCGAAAAGTAGACGCCGATATCCCACGGCATGATTTGGTGGGCGTCAGAGGAACGAATCTAAGCCACATCCCGTCTGACTCAAGGCAAAAATTATAGAAGTATCTACACGGTATTTGTTTTTGTTTTTGTTTGTTTTTCTCCCATCATTGGACTCTGTCGTCTGCCCCTCTGGCCCCCACCCTCCACATCTACGAGCTAGACGACCCAACCGGGGTCACATAGGAGGGGGGGGTTGGACCCCCTCCTGCGGTTCATGCCTCAGATATTTTTATCGCGATAAGGGTACAGCAATCCCTTCCCTCGCGACTTACGAAGTCGATTATGGTTTACTAACAAACGAGCTTTGCAGCGCGTCGCTTTCATCCTAGACCAGAATTTATTTAGTAGTGAGATACCGGGTGTGTTTCGAGCTGGACACACTCTGTTCAATCGACAGCGGCCGCAATTCGGAGGGCGATCCAGATAGGTCGATTTCTGCCACTACAGAGAGCCGAATGCTGAATAAGCCTGTAGGGGTGACGGTTTGCGATGTCCTACCAAAGAGCCCAACTAATAGAGATATGCTCACGCGTAGCTTGAAAAAAACAAAAAACAGCAGTAGCGAGACGAGTTTCTATTTCTTCGCGAAACACCCATGACCCACGTAGAGTAGCAGGTAGCCACCAACTTTTGTTCAACTCGGTCTTACGGAGCGCGCAGAAATTATCTTTCATGTGTGCGTATAATCGATTGCTTCCTTTCGAGGGCAAATTCTAAACTGAATTGAACAGTCGAGTGTGCTGAAGGCATTCAAGCGCGTCGTTTGGGCTGACGGAACGCAGCAGTGCCGAAAATGAGCGCTGGTCTGCTGGGTCACCTACGATCGAAGCTTCAGGTATCGGTGTACTCTGTTCGATCGTGTTGTATGCCTCGTTTTTTTTTCGCTTGTGTGCTTTTGCTGGAGGGAATACTCCATCCAATCCTAGTCATGCTCTCTCTCTCCTCTCTCTCTCTCCCCCCACTTCCCACCCCAGCCCTACACGCCCGATACCATCGTTCGCAACGGAACGGATAGCATACGCACCCATTCCCCTGTCAGTGTTTGTCGAGACGTGCCGAGCGTTTTCAAAAAGCACACACGCGCTACACGTGACGTCTGTGGCAGTAGCAGTGAGTACTCCCCGTCCGCTCCCGCGCATGCACGCGACGCAAACAAAGCACACCGCTTTGGCCAAGGAGTAGAAAACCCTCCTACCACAACCTTGGCACTCGGCAACAGACATGGCAACAACGGTGGAGATAGCCAAGCGCATTGCCACCACCCCACCCCCAACGCCAACAGTCTCAAGATGTTCGCACGCAGAACAAATCGCATGCAATACCCCTCAAATGCCTACTCAACCCGTCGACTTCCAACAGGATATTTTCCATCCATCCATATTTCCCTTGCTTGTTTTCATGGAAAGACAAGACAAGGGGGGGATTCCATGATCCTCTAACGAAGTAAACATAACCTCACGGAAAGACAACCCGTTCGAGATACAACCTCGGTCGAAAGGGATGTGCTTTCGTTTCCGCCTGGCCTCTTTACCCCCTCACCCTTCCAGTGGCCTTCACTCTTTGCGATTCTCAAATTCTCTTCTCTTCGTCCCACTCTTTTGTTCGTCTTTCTCCTTTCTCCTTTCTCTCTCTCTCTTTCACCACCTTTCTTCCCCCAGACGAGCCAACTTGAAGCTGCGCCATCACCAAGGATCGTCGTAGCCGATGAGATCTTTCGTTGTGCGTTGGACAACAGCTCTCTAGAAGCATCCCTGGCGATTGGCACCGCTGTTGTTTCAGCAAAAGCCAGTACTGAATGCAAACGGCAACATCGACTCATCCTTCACCCGTCCATCCTTCTCCGCTGTCTGGCGGTCCAACTCCCGTCCGTACGCATACGACCTTGCGTTCTAAGGCAAAATCGTATACTCAACACCTCTTGCACCCCACCCTCTCCACCAAAAAAAAAAACAGGAACCAAAATAGGATCATTCAACTATAATTTTGTCTGATCTCCCTCACGACAAAGCCAAATACCCATGCTCCACACACGTGTCCATCGAAAGGGACCAGACAAAATTCATCACCATGTCTAGCTCCTCCGCGTGTCAAGCCGCCGCGTACGTGCGTCTCGGAACGCCTCTGTCACAACCCACACCTACATCCGTCTCGAGAACGTCTTGCCTACTTTTTTTGTCCGTGCCGCCAAAACACATCACGCACTGTCTTGACGCAAAGCCGTAACTGTTCGCCGCGGTGACGGCAAAATTAACAAATATTCGAACACACTATCATACTGAACGGCATACAAATTTTGAGGCATCAGTCTGCTTCGCTGCTTGCATGTTTTGACACACTACCGATTTTTGAACGGTCTCTTCTTTGGCGCCGAGAGGGTTTTTTCACAACCATTCAAACCATTTCTTGTTCCCTCCCTTTTTACACCAGCCTCAACACAACAACTCGTCGAAAAATACAGAGGCAAAAAACACCCAAGCGATCTTCTTCAAGGTGGTGGGTACCACCCATCAGAGCGCCGACAGAGAAATTCTTGCCTCAGATCAGACCAACAAAGAAGGATACACATCATACACTTACCCACCCAGGCCCATAAACAACACATACCTCATCAAAATCGGTGAAACCGCGGAGCCCTGCGGCAGTCCCAGGACCTTCTTCCGCCACCCATCAACGCGACTTCACCAACCCCCCGCCCCTTTTCTCCCATTACGCTTGTGCTGCTCTACTAGCCAGACGCGGTGTGCAACAAGCGGTGCACTAGCGGCAAGGTGAGGCGGTCGAGGCTTCCGTCGGAATTTCTGCCTTCCGACACCACAAACGATCTGTGAGTCGACGGGCGGGGGGAGGTGACGGAACTCAAGCTCTGCTTCCGCCGATCGAAGCCCCGACCCCTCCCAACGCCATGAAAGCATTCAACTCCTCACCGAACAAACCTAGAAACCGTCGTACGCACGGGTCGGGGCGCGTTTCTACACTGGACCGACCCCACCACTGACGAAACGAGCACCCACCAACCACCACCAGCGTTTCTGTCCCGTCTCTCTACAACGCCTGCTGGACCCCTTCACGCGAGCAGGAGGCCCTTGTTTGTCCTTCACACCACACCACCTACCGCCGCCGCCGCCGCCGCCGCCGCCGCCGCCGCCTATATTACGTAGTTTCGGAACTGCTGTTGCGCGGCAAACCTTCTCGCTATCGCCTGCGCCCCCAAGGGGGTATATGCTCAAGACTAGCCCCACCCCACCCCAACCCCCAGTTTGACCCAGGCGGTTAAATCTCTTTCACCACCTCTCGCGCCCACAGGCCAGAATTTCGGCCTCTCTGTTCCGATACCAACGGCAACGAACTTCACACGGTCGTGCTAGTTATCTCTCGCTACTCGGGTGAAGCCCCTGTGACTCCCTTCCTCCCCCCCCCGCGCCCCCCTCCTGTTCTCTGCCTTCTACTTTGTTCGGCAGGCACCACACGCCCCTGAATTATACTCGTACAATCATTGCTATTCATGCTCACACTGTCCCCGTTCCCCCATCTCTCAGCGGCAAAAGAGCTACGCATCTACATCGAAATACGTGTGCTTCCCCCCGACCTTCCGTGTAGGGGTATAATATATGAAAGGCCTCTTGTTTTTCCCTATTTACATTTGCTACCCTTTTGTGTCGAGAAAAAAAAGCGGTCTCAAACAACACACACGACACACGTCCAACGATCGTGCGCGCGCCGTTCGTTTTACGTCGTCTTCTTCCTTCTCTGCTATTACTATTAAACGCTCTTTTCTGCGCTCCAACCGCGTGTGTGTCCCTGCCGAAGTCAAAGCATGACCACGGCCCATCAACAGACGCCCACACACGGAACACCACAAGATTTAACGGCACGAGCAAACACAACTATTCCCAGCAGCTCCGTTGCCTGCATGCCACGGTCTCNCCCCCCCCCCCCCCCGGCGCGGTTCATCATTATTCTACCCAACGAGTTTGCTTGCTGCTCGCTTGCCTCGGCGCGCGCCAGGAGTTTCTTCTCCCCGCCATTTACAAGACTCAGGCGGCCTCCGACTGCTGCTATTGCTGCTGCTGCTGCCGCCATCACTGATGCTGCTTCGCCCACGACGACTTGGCGATGGCCCCGTGCAGCATATTTCGGATGGAGGTGTTGCCCAGCCCTCCCACGCCGAAGGCCACGCCGATGCGGGCCACGCGCATGGCGATCGCCGGCATGAACGAGTCCTGGACGACCCGGAGGCGGGCGCGGCACGAGGACCGGGGGTGGTTGTAGAGGTCGAGGCCCAGGATGTGCACCGGTGTCGAGAACACTTGGACCAGGCCTGGAGAGACCAGCTGGGAGGTCACGTCCGCCATGCCGCTGTCCACGCCGAAGCTTTCCTGCATCTGGGAGGTCCCGTGTGAGTATGGAGAGGGGGGGGAAGGGGGATGAGGGCGTCTACGGTGGGTTTCAACATGTGATGCCATGCGCGCACTGCGATCCCAACACGAGGATTTAAACGCACGCAGCTTCAGAAAACACGGCCGATTTGTAAATGGCATCCACATGCACCGTGCGCATCAGGGACGTCTATCGGACGACTTGACACAAGACATTGCACCACTGATGTGCGCTCCGGACATGTGTATCCTCTCTACTTGCGCCATTAATCGACGTTCCTGAAACACACAGCAAGACAACGGCACACGTCGCCCTGTGCAGACCGCTGGTTTAACAGATACTCGAGCAAAAAACACCACATCCAGGCGTCAGGTACAAGAGCTCCCCTCAAACATACACAAATACATCCAAGACACACAAGAACGGCCGATCTCGGCGCAGTTATCAAGCGAAACACAAGCATACGTACGAGCCACCTCTTCTCTCACCCTGGCGGACATGGGGGTAGGCAGGGTGAAGGCCGCAGCCATGGTGGCGACGTCTCTGACGGTGAACAGCGCGAAGCTCGCGGCAGGTACCTTGGCCGCGCTTCCCACGACCCCGAAGATCTTCGTCAAGGCCTGTAGACGAGAAAAAGAAGCCAAAGTCAAGTTGACGGTTACAGCGGTTGGCGGTTTCATCGGTCTTTCCGCCACGCGTGCCAAATGGTGGAAATTTTCAACGACACATCCAACAAAATATGCAATCGATCAAGGACCACCTCCGGCGATCCGAGCTGAACTTGTGACGCCCTCGTCTCAAAAGATGCGTCATTGTCGCCTCTAATCTGCAACCGAAAAAAACAAGTCGCTAGTGAACGGATCATCGGCCTCTCGAGGTGAACAGCAACCAATAGCAACACGCGCATTCGGTACTTCGCATCAAGATCGTCACCCGGGTGGTCTAGTTGGTGTCCTCGAATCCCGGCGTAACCGAGCTTTTCTCGCTAAGGGAGTTTTTCTCTCGTTTCCGCTCTTGGCCTAGTGGATAGCGCTAGTTCGTGTGTACACAGAGCGAAGAGAGTGCTGAACTCTTCTCGCATTAAAAATCGAAGGCAAAACACCGCAGGAGGGAAGGGCGGAGAGGGGCTCTTCTGTGTGACCACGGGTTGGAGTAAACGGCACTAGTGCTGTGAGCACTGATTTGAAGTCAGGACCAAAAAAAAAACTCAAACATCTTGGGGTTTGAACATCGGCCGCAAAGGTAGAATACATCTCACAATTTTCCGTACACACAAGAAGCACAAGATGAGTCACTAACCTGGTCCTTGGCGATGGACCCCGGCATGTTGATAGCCGTCGTGCCGAGAAACTGTTTTCGACAGGACATGTCAGGTAAGTGGAGGGGGCGGGGTGTGCATGATCATGTGAATGCATACATGGGGCACTGTCAGTGTGCCGAAGTTATCGACGTTGTGAGCACCCTGATGAGTACAAACTGCGGTACCCCGACAGCATTAGAAAATCCTTCGCAACACCCTAATATCGGACCTGGAGTGGATGAGATCATCCCTTACCCGACGACATATTGAAGCAATGGTTTTTGTGTGTTTTCGTCCTAGTTGTATATTCCGTGTATATTCTGGCACTATGTAGTCAACACCCTTCGCACACAGCAGTAGGAGGTAGTTGACAAGGAGGCTTATTCCTTGCTCTTTGTCTCACCTTGGGCATCGTGTCGGAGCGGGAATATTCGTCCGCCATCGTGGAGATGGTATTGGCCGCAAGGTCTGGTTTGAAAAAAGCAAGTGGCAGTGGTTTTATCCGGGTCGGGCGGGCGAGAGGGTCAAGTGGGGCGGCAGCGGGGGTAGCGATCAAAGCTGGGTAAGCGGTCACAAACAGATTGGCGGTTCGAAAGCACGAAGCCAACACACAAGCATGATATTGGAACCAAGACATCCGGGCGCACAAACCAAATTCGAGAGTCGCTGTACATACGTAAGTATCATCCACCAAGAAGTGAACACTCACAAGTCGCGCCGTACAGGCAGAAGGTGCAGATGAAGTCCGGGCGGGCGAGGAACAGCGCGGGCTTTGTCGCGAGCACCCGGAAGCCCTGCGCCACGGAGGCCTTCATCCCCATGCTGCCGCTCGCGCTCTGGATGATAGCCCGGTCGACTATAGAGATGAACGGGCTCACCATCAGGCTGGCCATCGAGGCAGCCGCGAAGTCGCTCACCAGACGGGCCGCGAGCACGCCGCGGGCGCCGAGGCGCTCCAGGATGTTGCCGACGCCGACGCCGACGCCGCCGCCGCTGCCATCGCGGGCGGCCAGGAAGCCGCGGGCGGCGGTGGCGCCGGTAGCGGCGGCGGCAACGGCGACAGCTGTGCGGGTCGCCCCGGGCCCTTCTAATCGAGGTACGGGGGGCATGTGNGGGGGGGGGGGGGGGGGGTGGGCGCAGGGTGGCGGGAATACATGCCACTTGTCAAAATTGTCAAAATGATGCGCGTTCGTCTCTACCCAGACGACGAAGAAGATGGAAGTGGAATATCAAGAGATACTGCAAAGAGTATCGACCTTTGACGGATACGGCTATAGCGGTGTTCTGCACCGGATTCGCAAGTGTCTAACCGCGGGGGGGGGGGGGGGGGGGG